CCTAAACTTTTAGTAATTCTCTCTATTTCCATCTCCCTTTCTCTCTCCTATCCTCCCTCTCTCTCTCCTCCCTCCTCTCTCTCCTCTCTCCTCTCTCCGCCTGCCTCTCCTCCCTCCTCTCTCTCCTCTCTCCTCTCTCCTCTCTCCTGTCTCCTCTCTCTCTCCTCCCTCTTTCCCTTACCCCTTTCGCTCCTTTCTCCCACCTTCATCTATCCCTCCACATTACCCTGATCTATGTCGCCCCCCTTCCTCCTCTTAAACGGAGCGTACTTTCATGGTGATTTGTGCCCCGCAGGTGGTGGTGGAGCACCACAAGGAGACCCCCAACCAGCCGCCCTATTTCCTCCGCGGCCTGAAGGACTTCACGGCGCTTGACGGCGATGAAGTGAGACTGTCCGTCAAACTCGCAGGTATGCTCTCCTGTTATGTTGGGATATAGAAATAGGATTGTATAGATACTCAATAAGAATACTTTTTTGAAATCATTGTATAGTTTGTCAGCCGTATGGTGAAAGATAAACATTATCGAGCGATTAATATTACCAGTCCGTAAGCACCGAAGTTGAAAGTTTCGCTAGGCTTGGCAGTGAACATTGTATTTTTTTCTCGTAGGTTCCCAGCCCATTCGTGTGGTGTGGGTTCGCAACGACCAGGAAATCAAGAATTCCGAGGACTTCACGTACCTGGAAGAGGAGGAAGGCGAATACGCTCTCGTCATCCGCGACATCTTCCCCGAGGATGCCGGAATCTACATCTGCGAGGCTTATAACGCCCACGGAGACGCCCACACCCACTGCAGATTAGCTGTTCATGGTATGTTATCCAGTGATAGTGTGCATTACTACTAAGCCTTTTACGGCCGTTTTTTTTTTTACAAGGAAACTTAAAGCTGAATCTCTATTTTATTAAGCAATGAATTTGATAAGCTTATCATACTTATGATAAGGTATATCAGGTGATGGGTATCTAGCTGATGATAGTATTAATGAAAACAAGGTTCACTTGAGGGTCCGTCTTTATTAGAAAATGTTTCCAATATCTTGAAGTTTGTTTATTAATCTGCTGCCACCCCCTCCCCCAGATCCACGAGAATCCGAGACATCGGTGCCACGGATAGTCGGTAATCTGAAGCCCTTGGACGTGGAGGAGGGCTCGGCCGCCCGCTTCAGCGTCACCGTTCACGGGACACCCCGCCCGACCCTCACCTGGTACTGCGATAACCGCAAGTTGATCTCCACGCCTCGAATCAAGGTGCGTTGCAGTTCTCGAGCCTGCCAGCTTGCTTCTGTTCTTGAACAAGGTGTTGCATTTGTAGATTTCGTGAAGTGACCTTCATTCGTAAAATAAAACGTGACCCTCTCCCTCAGATCAACATGGACGACGACGTGGGCGCGGACGGCGAGGTGCAGCACACCCTGGGCATCCTCCACGCGCTCTCCACCGACTCGGGCGTCATCTCCGTCGTCGCCTCCAATTGCCTCGGCTCCGATACCGCCTCCACCACACTCAAGGTGCTTAACCTTCCACTCCCGCCTTCCTCGTATCATTCCCAAGACAAATACATTATTTAACGAATATGCATGTCTATAGCGTAGACGGAGTACTGCGCTATATGGACTTTCCACACAGTATGAATTACCAAGCTTGTTTTGGGTAATAACTTGATCGTCAGCAAGTCCCTATATATTGTTTGCTTTCCCAGGTTGATCCCTACGCCCCGAGGCGAGAGGAGCGCGTGCGATCGCCCCTCGGCACAAACTCCACGGCCAACACCACCTCCAGGTTGTCGCCGCCGCGCACCTCCAACTCCCCCGCGCCCAGGATCAGACCCTCGCTCAAGGAGGTCAGTGATCCCCCTGTGTGTTAGGTCCTTCTGATGATTATAGAATATCATGCACTTGAGTTTGCCGTTTTTAACCTATGGAAATGTTGTACGCCATGTGGATTAACATGTGGGCTAATTCAGATATATTTATATGTATACATTTTATGTATGTAGTTTTTTAAGATTCAGCGAAGGTAGTAAATCAGTTGTGTACATATCGCTTGTCAGTATTTTTTTATTCTGGAAAGTGTATTCTTACTTGGCCCCCTTGGATATAGGTAAAATGACAGTATTACCATTTGAGTTATTTAAACACTACAAATATTGTTGAAAACAAACAGCATTTGCCCTTGCAGGTCACAAACACTGGCACGGCAAGCGTGGACTCGGCCTACGGCAGCGTCAGCCTCAGGGATTCTGCCAGCGGCCGGAGCAGCACCCTCTCCAACCTCAGCGAACTGGAGGACGACCAGGTACGGGGAGGCTGCAGGCACGGAAGGCACTGTAGTACCTGTTGAAATTTTTACACGATGCTGTCGGTTACACCGTTTCCTGCACGGTACTGCATTGCTGTATGATGTATATAGTATTATTTACATAAAGACTGCATCTAATATACATTTTTTCATCAGGGTGAACCAGCGAAGAAGCCCCTCCGCACCATGGCCAGCTGTGACGAAGGAAAAGAAGACGAACAGCAGTCTGACGAGAAGAAAGAAGAAGAACCAGAGGAGGAGGAGGAGGAGGAGGAAGAGGAAGAGGAAGAGGAGGAAGAGGAAGAAGAAGACACGGAAGCCGAGATCCTGCTTGGTCCTCTTGACATGACGGTCCTCAAGGGTCAGTCTGCAACCTTCACTGCAACTTTCACTGGCAAGCCTCAGCCCGTAGTGTCCTGGCTCAAGAAGGTTAGTGTTGGGTTTTGTTTATTCAGTTTACTAGCCATGTAACTTGGAAGTGCAGTAATATTCACTACTATATGTTCGTGTGTGTGTATTCATGTCTGTTTCTTCCTTCCTCTTTATTCCCAAATACGAATGAAAACAAACCTGTTAACGCCTTCGCTTGTCTCCAGGAGCAAGAGATCTGCGACGGCGGGCGGTACACGGTGAAGACGGAGAACGGCACCACGACGCTCACCATCCGGGACATCGTGCAGGAGGACTGTGACAAGTACACCGTCGTCGTCAGGAATGCGCTGGCCGCCCACGCCGCCTTTGCTTCCCTTGCTGTAGGAAGTACGTATATGGACGGCTTACCGCTGCACTATTTTTGTTTGTTTGTTTTTTTCCCCTCCTCTCTCCCCTCCTCTCCCCTCCTCCTCCCCCTCCTCTCTCCCCTCCTCTCTCCCCTCCTCTCTGCTCTCTCTCTCTTCTCTCTGCTCTCTTTCCCCTCTCTCTCCTCTCTCTCTTTTCTCTTTCCCCTCTCTCTCCTCTCTCTCTCTTTTATCTTTCCCCTCTCTCTCCTCTCTCTCTTTCTCTTTTCTCTTTTCTCTTTCCCCTCTCTCTCCTCTCTCTCTTTTCTCTTTTCTCTTTCCCCTCTCTCTCCTCTCTCTCTCTTTTCTCTTTCCCCTCTCTCTCCTCTCTCTCTTTTCTCTTTCCCCTCTCTCTCCTCTCTCTCTCTTCTCTTTCCCCTCTCTCTCCTCTCTCTCTCTTTTCTCTTTCCCCTCTCTCTCCTCTCTCTCTCTTTTCTCTTTCTCCTCTCTCTCCTCTCTCTCTCTTTTCTCTTTTCTCTCTCTCCTCTCTCTCCTCTCTCCTCTCTCTCTCTCTTTTCTCTTTTCTCTCTCTCCTCTCTCTCCTCTCTCTCTCTCTTTTCTCTTTTCTCTCTCTCCTCTCTCTCCTCTCTCTCTCTTTTCTCTTTTCTCTTTCTCCTCTCTCTCTTTTCTCTTTTCTCTTTCTCCTCTCTCTCTTTTCTCTTTTCTCTTTCTCCTCTCTCTTTTCTCTTTTCTCTTTCTCCTCTCTCTCTTTTCTCTTTTCTCTTTCTCCTCTCTCTTTTCTCTTTTCTCTTTCTCCTCTCTCTCCTCTCTCTCCTCTCTCTTTTCTCTTTTCTCTTTCTCCTCTCTCTCCTCTCTCTCCTCTCTCTTTTCTCTTTTCTCTTTCTCCTCTCTCTCCTCTCTCTCCTCTCTCTTTTCTCTTTTCTCTTTCTCCTCTCTCTCCTCTCTCTCCTCTCTCTTTTCTCTTTTCTCTTTTCTCTTTCTCCTCTCTCTCCTCTCTCTCCTCTCTCTTTTCTCTTTTCTCTTTCTCCTCTCTCTCCTCTCTCTCCTCTCTCTTTTCTCTTTTCTCTTTCCCCTCTCTCTCCTCTCTCTCTCTCTTTTCTCTTTTCTCTTTCCCCTCTCTCTCCTCTCTCTCTTTTCTCTTTTCTCTTTCCCCTCTCTCTCCTCTCTCTCTTTTCTCTTTTCTCTTTTCTCTTTCCCCTCTCTCTCCTCTCTCTCTTTTCTCTTCCCCCTCTCTCTCCTCTCTCTCTCTTGTCTCCTCTCGCCTTTAATTTATTCTATCTCAATTCTTTTCTTTTCTACAAAAGGGGCTTTTATTTGCAGCATTTTCAATTATTAACATTTAGAGGAAATCTCGATTTTTCATCCGAATAGCCAGGGGGCAACCTAAAGACTAATTGCCCCTAGACATTTAATTGAACTTCGCGGAATTCCTAGCTATTCCCGGAGCCTGTGAGAGCGCCCCCTAAGTGTCCCTTGCGTTGCAGGTGCCCCCGAGCCGCCTGCGGATCGACCCAACCACTCGGAGGTGACGGCGACTTCCGTGACGCTTTCCTGGTACGGCCCCACCTACGACGGCGGCTCCGTGGTCACGGGATATAATGTTGAGGCGCGCAAAGTGGGCCAGGATGAGTGGAAGACGCTCATCACGGGGTGAGTCGAGGATCATCAGCGTTTTTCGTTTCTGTAGTTCGAGGATTTCAGTGGATTTGAGGCGTATTTTATTATAGGTCTTTTTCTGTCAGAGTATTTTGAAATTTACGGACGTAATGAGAGCTACATGATTCTTTTTCCAGATGCCACTCTACGTCATACATTGTGACGGGACTGGAGACCGGTTGCCAGTACGAATTCCGCGTGCGAGCGCAGAACATGCACGGCCTCTCCGAGCCTTCGAAGCCGTCGCAGCCCGTCACCACCTCCAATCAGACCAAGCAGGCAGAGGAGGAACCCGAGCCTGAGGGTAAGACGGAGATTTTGTCTTAAATTATGCGATACAGAATACGATACAAAATACCTGCTTAGGATGTTCCTCCGATGACATACTTAGTCTTTCCAGCGCTGTAACATGCCCTTGTTATTTCCAGACTATGAAAAGGCCTTCGCTCCCCTCAACGTCGAAATCGAGCCAGGGAACATGTTCGACGAGCAGTACACCCTGCACGAGGAGGTCGGCAAGGGCCGCTTCGGCATCGTCTACAGGGTCACGGAGAAGACCTCGGGCACCAGGAGGGCAGCCAAGATCATCAAGTGCATCAAGGCCAAGGACAAGGAAAAGGTAGATGAGAGCAGACCATACTTGCATTATACCATTTGTGTGTACTGTTCGTGAATTACAACACAACATTAATTTCCACAAAAACTGAAAAGCCATAAGCTATTGCGACGTTATCCTTATTTCTCGGCCGCCTTTCTCGCAGGTCCGCGAGGAGATCTCCATCATGAACGCCCTCAGACACCCCAAGCTCCTTCAGCTCGGAGCAGCCTACGAGCGCCCGCGAGAGATCATCATGGTGATGGAATAGTAAGTGACAGGAAGACGAACCATCTGTTGTCAGGCGTTCTTCTTATCTGTTGTCATTTGACGTTTTTTATCGAGGCGATAATTAACTGAATTCAGTGTAACAGAATAGCATCCTCATTCTGCCAGTTACTAAAGATTTATCACCAACATGTCAAGTGCATAAGTGCATGTGTTCCTGCATGAAAATGAGTTTAGTAAATATGAAACAGCTTTACATAATTGTACATGCTAAAGGGTGACGAGGAACGTGTTTATGCGTTGTGTACATTGGCTAATGAGAATCTTTTGCAGCATATCCGGCGGCGAGTTGTTCGAGCGTGTGGTGGCCGACGACTTCAACCTGACGGAGCGTGACTGCATTCTCTTCGTCAGGCAAATCTGCGAGGGAGTCCAATACATGCACAGCACCAACATTGTACATCTCGACCTCAAGGTAAATTATGACATGGAGTTTTTTAAAAAGTAATGCATTCACTTGTATTCCTTCATATATTCTTTTCTTTGTGTGTCTCCGTAAGCTGTAGGAAAACTCGACTAATGTCTTCACTCATCTCCTCAGCCCGAGAACATCCTGTGCGTGCGTCGTACGTCCCATCAGATCAAGCTGATCGACTTCGGCTTAGCGCGGAGATTTAACCCTGATGACCCATGCCGAGTGCTGTTCGGAACCCCCGAGTTCATCGCTCCCGAAGTCATCAACTACGAGCCCATTGGTTTCGCTTCGGACATGTGGTCCGTCGGGGTTATCTGCTATGTTCTGTAAGTCGACTATTAGGTATTCAAGTTGTCAAATGAATATTATATATTTTTTAATGTATATATATATTAGAAAATAAATTAATATATAAAGACTATAAATTGCGGGGATATCCTATCCATATATGGACTCGGAAATTATATGGATTATATATCTGATTAATATTATTATGAAAAGTATGGAAAGTTAATGTGATTTTGTACGTTATATTCATTCGCTCCTCCCGCAGGCTGTCAGGGCTGTCGCCTTTCATGGGCGACAACGACGCCGAGACCTTCAGCAACATCACCCGCGCCGAGTTCGACTTCGACGACGACGCCTTCGACGCCATCACTGACGATGCCAAAGATTTTATCCAGTCCTTGCTTGTCAAACGAAAAGAGTAAGTGTCGTCATACAACTCGGAAAAATGAAGTTAGATTTTTTATTTGATACACTGCATATCCAGTTCATTTGATAGCCTAAGCAGTAAAACTTTTTTTTAAGCTTCATGCACGGTTCTTGTCTAATTCCATTTCAACATTTCAGAAAGCGACTCACGCCTGCACAATGTCTGGAGCACCGTTGGCTGAACCAGACTGAAGGTACCATGAACAAGGTCGTCCTCTCCACAGACAAACTGAAGAAGTTCATCATTAGGCGAAAGTGGCAGGTTTGTGACTTTGATTCTTGTGTTCATTATATTCTTATGATATTGACATAGTTATTCATGAGGATTTATCTTACCTGAAAGGATATTGATTTTTTTTTAATTAGTCTAATGCACGTGCAAGAGTTTGTTATACAGAGATAAACCTTTTGCAATCTCCATTAATGTTTGTTACTAATGTGTTTATCACTAGCGTTGTTTTTGACTGACCCTTTTGATATTTTAGTAAATGAAAAAGTTTAGTCTTGGTTTGTAGTCCCCGAGTTTTTTTAATATTTTGGTTTTAACTCGCCGTTTCCAAGTTTGTGACTTGAGTAAATATGAATAGCATACCATCCATAAGTCATGTCCTAATCCGTTGGTAGTGTGTGCCCTTAACTGCATGGTTTGTCCGTTTGTTTCCTAAAAATCCAGAAAACTGGAAATGCTATCCGCGCTCTGGGACGAATGGCCAACTTGACCAGCCGTCGCAGTTCTCAACCTTCTTCACCCACGAGACTCTCCCCCCTCCCGGAGAACCACACCCACACGCCCACCACCCCCGCCAGCCCCTCCCCCGTGTCCTCGCCCGCCGCCCTCGTTAAGACCAAGGGCTGCGCTCCCGTCACCCGCTCCTCGCCGAGCATCATCAGCGAGAGAAGCGATTCCGGTATTAGTGAATGTTCGTTTGGTGTTGAAGAAAATAACCCCAACCAAGTTAACAACCAGTGTGGCCTCACTAACGGTCGTGCTGTTACAGGGCGCACTGTTATCAAAAGTGGAAAGACACCTTCTCTAGACTGGCAGTCGTCGGTTGACTCTGCTGTCTGCGACGACGACTTTATCGGCAAGAGCGGCGACTTCGGGTCTTCGCAGAGAAGAATCTCACGGGAGGCGCTGCTGCATGCCAAGACCGACGCACTAATGAACGCTCACTCCAGAATATAGAAATATATATAAAAGAAAATAGACTCGTAGTGTATAATGCTTAACTAAAGTTTTATTGTAACGTAAATATACATACATGTATACTGTGTACATACAAGAGAAGAATGGACGTTGGAGTGTAGTTACTAGTTGATTATTTGCCTTTTTAATAAGTATCATAGTGGCCTTGAATTTAATAAGATTTTATTTAATCCATATTTTGCCTGGACCGTATGTATTTAGATCGCGCTGGCCAGTGACGGTAAGCCTCGCGCACGAAGCTGTGCAGGTTCAGGTCGGTGCGTCTTGCTCTCAAAGTGTTGTATTTCTGCGGGCTGTGTTGGTGCACTCGCCCTGCATCTGTCTATTTAATCCATGTCAACGAATATGGAGCTTATTTAGACGCTTTCAAGATAGAGTCGTGAACACTTGACACAAGAAAATTCCATTGCTGAAAAAATGGAAACCGAAACTTCGACCTCTGAAGCGTGTCTTTCCTCGGGACACGTGGAAAAGAGGAGGAACTTAACTTCGTATTCTCACTGTCGACCAGCCAGAACAGACTCTCGTGAAGGCTGATGATGCATCATACTTTTTATCTTAGAAAAGTGTACACAAGCAAGTCAAAGGAAGAATGTAAAAAAAAATGTGTTTGACGTTTTGCCGTGACGGAAAGACCAAGGGAAGCGTGCCTGAATTTGCTTCCGTTGCCTCTCCGTCACACCCGTTTGTTTTCCCTTGCAGAAAAAAATCCTGTGAATTTGCCGTTAGTTCTTTATTGTGTGTTTTAATGTATGCTTCATATGATTTTGATTTTTTCTCAGTGCCAAATAAAATGTACAGATGGTTTGCCTGATATCATTCCACATAAAACCTTTGACATCTTGATTCATTTGCCGGAAATCATTCATCTTAACAGGTCAGCGTCCTATTTTATATATGTTAATTGTCCATCATCGATACATTTAGTTTCTTTTCAAATGCCTAATTTTATTTCAAAAGGATGTCGATTATCGCATCCCCCCCCCTTCATTTTTCTGAAATTTCAATGCCTTAGTGTAGCCACGCCAGGCGGTGACCTCACTTACCCAGTGAGCCCCCTGTGGCGTCGGCTCTGCTTAATAAAGAACATTCAACGGTCATACCGCCTTTACATTAGATGCCGCTGGAGTGTGGTTCGGATTCCCGTTATCTGTGAGATGGTCCGAGTGGCAGCCTTGCCTAGATTCTTCGAGCCTTTACTAACAGGTTGAGAATGTTACTTGTAGTGCCTCCAGTGCCATTTCATTTATCGAAGCTTCAGAGATAACGGCGTCGCGACAATCACCTCCAAAGAAGGTTATTTAGGATCCGTTTACCGAAGAAGCATCCTGTTGATGATTATAGGTAGAGAGTGGTTCCTGATGTGTTTGTGTAGCTACGGTAATGTGATAAAAATGTAGATAAGATATCCCGAGTATGTGCATGATATTGTTGTTAAGAGATTAAAAGATTTATTTGAGAGGATATGTTTTATTCTGTAACCATCGTTTTCTTTTGATTTGATTATTCAATAGGACAAACATATTACACAGAGTAAATAAACTCGCTTTTTTCTGGATAAGGACGATGAATATCCACAAAATATTAGTTTTATTACACTACAGTGACAGTGATAATACAAGTAAATCTTTATGTATATGAAAATATTTTATCTTTATTGAAAATAAAATCGTATGGCACATTCACAGTGTTTGGACGACATACATGCACACATCATTTGGATATATCTAAGTATAACATATAATGGACACCATTTAACCTACCTCCATTATCATTTTAAACGCAAGTGAGTAACTGCGTCTGAATCCCAAAACGTACATAAGTAGATGAAAAAATGTACATACAGACTTACTGTCCTGGTGTATACGGGTGTGTGTGTATGATATATATTAAATTTCATATATTTCCAAAAGGAAAAACAAAAAACAAAAATTACCTAAATATACATATATATATATATATATATATATGGGTGTGTGTATATATACATATACATATATACAGATAGATATGCACATACATATACATATAGATTTCCTTATACATATGTACACATACATACATATACATATATATATAAATGCATATACATATAGATATAAACATACATATGCCTATATATATATATATATATATATATATATATATATATATATATATATATATATATATATATAAATAAATATATATACAAATAAACTTGTATACATATATATGTATATTCGTATATAGATATACATATATATAGTTAGATATATATATACATATCCAAAATATAATATAATATATATATATATGTATATATATATATATATATATATATATATATATATATATATATAAACATATATGAGTGTACATATGTATATCCTTGTATGTATGTATATATGTGTATATATGTATATGTGGGTGTGTGTGTGTGTGCGTGCGTGTCCGTGTGTGTGTGTGTGTGTGTGTGTGTGTGTGTGTGTGTGTGTGTGTGTGTGTGTGTGTGTATGTGTGTGTGTGTGTGTGTGTGTGTGTGTGTGTGTGTGTGTGTGTGTGTGTGTGTGTGTGTGTGTGTGTGTGTGTGTGTGTGTGTGTGCCAAGGAATTGTAATTCTCTGGCTGTGTGCAAGACGGGCTGATGTAAAAAAAAATCAAGTTTAGCCCTTTTAACTGTGCATAAAGTTGCATACTTTTTTTTTTAATAGAAACGACAATATCTTCCTTCACTCATATCATGACTTGAAGTAATAAAGAAAAACACTCTCCCTTTTACTTCTATGAAATAAGCAAATTTAGCCCTGAACCCACGTGCTGAATCTAAAACTTCTGACTTATGGTGTCCCTTGCACTCAGCCAAAGTGAATTAGAGAAGATATGTCCTCGTGTGTTGTGCATTTACACCTTAAAGTCCTTACAAATATGTCCCGAAAATATTCTAACACAGCGTGTCTTGAGGAGTTTTACGACTTGTAACTTGTAATGACATACACATTATACTTAACACACTTACAGACTTCAACAGGGATAAATCAGTCTTTGTAGAGTTAATTCCTTCTTTCTTTTTCACTACGTCAGTGTATTTATACGTATACGTAAACACACAATTTAAGTACCTATAGAACATTTGAACGAGTGTTTTTATTTTAAGAGTACTGTTCAATAGGATTTCGATTACCTTTAACCACTCGGCATTTCCCTTCTTTATTTCCTATTGTGCCGTTTTGTAATCAGACGCTTTTGATGGTACTGATATACTGTACACCAGTGGTTCTTAACTTTTTTACTACCTTGCCATATTAAAAATGTGTTCTTAGTCTCTTTAGTGAGTGGATTAATCACATTATTACTGACCTTATTATTTGACCATGCTCTTGTTAGGAAAATAACAAATAAAATTAGCGAAATTCCTGTTTTCTTTCCGTAAGGGCTCGCACCACCTTGGAAATTCCTGACGCGCCCTAGGTTAAGAACCATTGCTGTACACTATAATATATACACGTACATTGCATTTTTAGTTTCAATATTGGCCATACGCATCCATTTTGTAATGGAGCAAAAATAAACATATGTATGTTTCATTTTCCTGCTGTTTGTAAGCCAGGTCAATTTCAGCGTGGCAATATCATTTAGATACAGTAAATGTTTCTTGGAATGATTGAATTTGAGGTTCGTTATACATGTATATATGTATAGATATATGTATATATATATACATATATATATATATATATATATATATATATATATATATATATATATATATATATATATATACATATATATATATATATATATATACACACACATATGTATATTATGAGCGCGCGCGCGCGTGTGTGTGTGTGTGTGTGTATTTGCATGTATATATATATTTAACAACGATATAAAAGCTACAGAGTCACTTAAATATAATCTATCCAGATGCTACTGTTGCTTTTTCTTCCTATCTATTATTTCAGAACTTGAAAATAAGTATGTCATGCTTATTTACGGATCTCGATAACGCCGTTTTCCATTCCTAAAACGAATCATTTCGATTAATGTTCAGAGGAATAAATATGCTTGCTTGAATTATAGTAACTGGCGTGTTCCAGCTCTTTGATTTCGTATTGTTTGACTAGTTCTTTCATGTAAAGTGCAAAAGCCCCCAATGGTTGTCTTTATATACTTTTCTGAGTGTGAGCGCACCATTGAGAAAGTCTGTTACATTATTACATGTGAAACAGTACTACCTTCTTGATCCACGTGCAGTCTCCAGATCTGAGGGGGAACCACCACTCCAAGGTCTCCCTTTATGGTCTAGTTTGTATGGTAAGGTGTTGTTCTGTCGTGTGAAAGCGTTAGTAGTTTGTGAATAGGCTTTTTGTCGAGCTGTCAGTTATAGGAATTTCTTTTCCGGTCCCGTACGGCTCGTGGAAAGTACGAATGGTGAAAGGGGACTGTATTGTCATTTGTGTCGGGGAAACTGTTTTTTCGGCCTTACAATTTCTGTTGATTATTGTCGTTGTAGTTGTTTATGGCTGTATTGTTTTCAAGTCTGGGAGTTTGTGTGTAGGTTTGAGTAATTAGCCTAACTACTTTTTCATATATACTCGTTATCATCGCGACTATACTATACTCAGTCTTTGTTAATCGAGGCAAAGATACATTAGACAGGTTGGAGATGATACTTCTTTGATATGTGGTATGATGGTGATGATCATCGCCAGAAATACATGTTGCATTTCAGCCAATCACCACCCACCTTTCGCTTGAATCTTCGCCTCGGAACAAAAAGGAGTCGTGTTGGACGGACTAGGGTAAATACAGTCATGTTTTTGTGCAGTTCTATAAATTTTGATTAATATCATCTGCGTCCTGTTTGTTTTCGGTGGGATTATTGTTAACGTAAAGTCTTAGCTTCAACAAAAAGGCATTCTTTAGTATTTGTCTAAGCGTCTGTGCATGTGTATAAGTGGCAACCGATACTAGTGGATATATATATATATATATATATATATATATATATATATATATATATATATATATAATGTATATATATATACTGGTTGTGATTTAAAGGTGATAGGCAATAGTTTTTTTTCTGTTTCGTAATTTTGTTTCCCTCTCACTGTTTTAAGAGGACTTGGATCTATCCTAGTGGTATGTATGATAAACTTTTAAAAGAACATGAAACGAACCGTCGAGGAGTTTCCGTGAATCCATAGCGCAGCGGTCCCGCCATATTAGTGGGTCTTTAAAGATGCTCGAAGTGACTAGACGCGGGAGAGTGCGTTAAATGTCCGTCTGTCCCATGCGCTCACAGATAGTCAAATCTCTTTGTTTCCTCAATTTTCTGTGTTCTCTAAAGCCATAGAGGGATCTCGACCGGCTGGTCCTCCACGGATGCTCGTGGCCACTGATTTTTTCTGAGGGAGATCTGGTGATCGTGGGAGACCCGGTCGGGGACACTGAGAAGGAAACCGACCTCCTACAGGGATAGCGCAAAGGAATGTTCTCGCATTTCGTAAGCTTCGCCTTGGAGCCGTAGCTGAGGACAATCTTGTCGTCAGAAGAAAGGGTCGACTCCGAAATCAATTTCCGCGAGCCTTGGAGAGACGTGCTACACCTGTTCATGTGCTTCAGGTCCGAATTCGACAGCGGAAGTCCGTTGTAATTGGCCTGCAGCCCGCTGGAGATGAGGATCGGGTTCGGCATGACATACATGGAGTATTCCTCCGCGGCGTCGGTGCTGTTTAGTAGCGAGAGGGGGGTGGGGGGCGTCTCCAAGTTCCCGTTCGTTATGCACGTGGAGATGGAGTCCTTCCCACTGGCCGTCAT